GACTCCAGTGAAACACAAAGATGAGTGTAAAACCAAGGCTGGGGCAGAGGCTTGATTCTCTCCCCCCTCTCCTCTCTCTCTCGCTCTCCCTCCCTCTCTCTCTCTCTCCCTCTCTCTCTCTCTCTCTCTCTCACGCACGCACACACACACACACACAGATAAGCAAGAACATTCTGAAAGAAAACACTTCCCACAAAAGGACCTAGAAAAAAATTCAGTTAGACATGAAGAAATCTAATAAAACAACAAAAACAAAAGCAAAAACAAAACCAGCCAATAAAATCATTAATGGGAAACTTTACTACAAATACAACTCCCCAGCCCAGGATGGCAGTGCCTGCCTATAGTTCCAACACTCAAGATGAAGGGGAGGGTGACTACAAGTTCAAGGCCATCCTGGTCTACAGAATGAGACACTCAAAACCCAAAAGTTATAAAACAGTATGGCAAACATTAACTGTAAATATGCTTACACATTGCAAAGAGCCTGAAATCTTCACATTCTAGAGGCCCAATCAAGAATTCAAGACTACCATGTAATACAGAGGGAAAACATCAGGAGTGGGGCAAGAAATGACCCAAGTATCCAACAAAAAAGATAAAACATGAAGAAATAAAACACAAGAACAGACATAGCTACATCCCACTACTTTTCTTTAAAAACCGTAAAAGCTATGGAGGATGAGGCAAGTACTAGCTTACAGAAAATTTCAAAGGGATTTGGGGCTAGAGACAGAGATTCAAGTTGAGTACTTTCCTAGCATGCTCTGGGTATGATCATGGCTCCACCCAGAAGAAAAAGGCAAAAGGAAGAACTGTAGACGCAGTTAAGTGGAAAAAAAAAAAAAAAAAAAAAAAAAACTACTTTAATAGTGCATGGAGAAAGAACCAAACAGACATTTGAAGTGATATATTAAGTTTCATTTAAAAGAAAATCCGAACATTTCCAGAGGATACAGATTCTCATACACAAAAGACACAATATAGTAAATAAAAAATTAACCTCACCAGTACAAAACTTGGCAAAATTTCAGAACAAAAGGCATGAAGAGAATCTTAATTTTTCAGAAAAAAAAAAATCATGGTGACTAAATTCCTGAATGTCAATTCTTGATATTAAAAAAAAAAAACAAAAACAAACAAAAAAAAAAAAAAAAAAAAAAAACAACCAAATGAATCCTATCTTCCAATTTTGTGGAAAATCAACCTCCTATGCAGAGATTTATATCCAAATTATCATTAATTAGAGAAAAGGGAACAAAGTTAACCACAAACATGTAAAATCTCAAAAAGAAAATTTAACTTCCACACATCTTTGATTTATTCTACCACAAGAAAGAGTAAATCAAAAAATCAGAGAACAGAATAGTGGGAGAGGACTATAGGGAACATGAGGGACATCACACATTGAGTGAACAGGAAGAAAGGACAGAGCTGGTGTTTTCAGTCATGGAGAAGTCATTGCCTGGTGTGAGGGTTCACAATGGTAATCCCAGCACTCGGGATGCTAAGGTCTGTGCATCACAGAGAATTGGAAGCCAGCTTGGGCTACACAGAGTTTAAGGCTAAGATGAGCAAAAACAGTGAGACCCCGTGCTTTAAAAAAAAAAAAAAAAAGGTGGGGCAGGAGTTATTAGTGAGTGACAAGCTAAAAAGAGCATACCTGTGACTTTATATCTCGGTGAAGAATTTTTCTATCATGTACATGTTTTAAAGCCAAGCATATCTGCACAAACCAGTCCAAAATCTACAGAGAAACATCATATTAGGAACATTAATAACATTCAGGCTACACTAGTAAGTACTCAAGTCAACTGACAAGATAGGTATAACACATACTAAGTCTGTTACACACAGCAAGTAATTATGGGAAGGAACATGAATGAAAAATATAAATAATTTATACTTTATAATAGACTGATGATAGGTGGATACGTTTGTTAAGTTTCTCTCTCCTCTCTCTCTCTCTCTCTCTCTCTCTCTCTCTCTCTCTCTCTCTCTCTCTCTCTCTCTCTCTCTCTCTTTTCTTTTTGACTTTGCAACTTTTCAAGGCAGGGTTTCTCTGTATTGCTTTAGAGCCTCTCCTGGAATTAGCTCTGTAGACCAGGCTGGCCTCGAACTCAGAGATCTGCCTGCCTCTGCCTCTTGAGTGCTGGAATTAAAGTGTGCATCACAACACCCAGCTAAGTTTATCTTTTTTCTCCTACCTTTTCAATATAAATAAAAATTACACAAAGAAAATTATCAAGATAGAAATTTAGAAGGTTATCTACCTAACATCTCTAACCATATTCACCACATATAAACAGTCTCTAGAGTTGTCAGTTAGAGGTAAAACAACTTAATTTCTACCTCACTCTTTGCACCAAAACAATTCCATTTAGATGGTATTACTAAGCATAATAATAAAATAAAACATAGGTCAATTTTAATATTTTTTTGACTGACACATGACTTTCAAAACAGAACACAAATACCCATCTCTGAAGTCCCAAGGTAACTTTGATATATAAAATTTAAAACATCTTTGTAGCAAAATATACAGTCAAGTTTAATAACAATTTGAGAAAATGCTTGAGTGTAATTAATAGGTTGCTAATCTCAAATATGCATAGTTCTTTCACATCCCTGGGGAAAATGCTGGTGACTAGAACAAGAGATGACAAATGACACAAAAGAATAAAGGACAATAAACACATACAGGAAATATTAACATTTTAAATTAAAAATAGTAACTAAGGAAGGTGCCATTTTAACTTAAACTAATACATAATAATGCTCAGAATGTGATACAATACATTCCTCATTTGTGAGGAAGTGGTGAGTTACATCATTTGATAAAACACAAAACTTAAAATTCACATGCCTTTTAAATTAGTAACTACAATTTCAATTTATTCCACATATAGTATCAGAAATGCCAAAACATGTATACAAGGGGTATATGGTTTAGTACTACTTGTTTATTAAACAATCTACATGTCCACTAAGGGGACTGATAAAATATGACAGTCTTATACTATGCAGCCACTGAGAAGAAGCACCTCTAAGCATAGACCTAAACACCGTTAACTGAACACAGGAAGTTGCAGAATAGCATGTATACTGTGCTCCCGTTTTTTTTTTTTTTTCAAAAACACTAAAATATTGGATTTAATACCAGCCTGCCCTAGCGATTATGATTAACATACAAAGTTAAAAACGAATACATACAGCTGGGTGTGGTGGCACATGACTATAGTTTCAGCACTGAAGTGGTAGAGGCTGGATGGTCAGAAGTTTCAGGCCAGCCTGGGCTACATGAGACTCTATCCTCTACTCTGTTTCCCATCCTGCCCCCAAATAAATACATATGAAACTACACTCTGAGTTGTTTCTTGGTAGTGCAGTAGGAATCAGGCTCCTACATACCAACCCACCTGATCTTCTTGAAACAAAGTGCCTTTCTGAGCATTTATTCGTTTAAACAGGTCCCCTCCTTCACAGTAATCCATTACTATGTAGAGAGAGCCATTTTCTACAAAATATAAACACCAAATTCCATTTTCAAAATGTTGTATTAAAAGCATAGTTAAGGAACTTAAAGATTTGTTAAAAAGCAGCAGCTAAACAATAGAGTGAATCATCTTCAAAAAGAATTAGGGCAGAGACTAAGAATTCTGCCTATATAGCTTGTACACGATTTAAGTTTTAGGCAACTCCATCACTGACCACTTTTCTACCAAGAATGCACCATCTGAGTAGAGAACGGTTTTTATACCTTAATACTTCAAGGTATAAAGGCATACATAAATAAAATGAAGAACAGTATACTTTTGCTCAGTTTTCTCAAATGTTATATATAAACTCACGTTTTCCCATCAATTTTTCAGAGCCTACATCTTAGATTTGAAATAATAAATTCTGAATGTATTCACTTTGAATTAACTGCTCGTTAAATACAATATAATCACTTTTGTGTCTTTTATACCCTTATATCTTTACATGTGGTAGAATATTACTTTCAGGTATGTGACTTTTGTTTATGCTGCAATTGTTTAACTCTGTGAAGCTAGCTGTGTTACTGTGCCTGTCTAAAACACCTGGTGGTCCTAATAGACAGCTGAACAGTCAACAGAGAGGCACGAGCAAGGATCGGCAGGCAGAGGGGATACATAGGAGAAACAAGGAAAGAGGAGCAATGAGAGATCAAGGGGAAGAGGACATCAGGGGCCGGACACCCATCCATCCATCCATCCATCCATCCATCCATCCATCCATCCATCCATCCGCCCATGGAGTGAATGGAAAGTAAGGATGATAAAAGCCTAGAGGGAAAAGGTAATTAAAAATCAAAAAAGCTGGCCAGAAACAAGCTGAGTTAAAGTCAGGCACTCACAAATAAGAATAAGCCTATGTATTATGAGAGCCAAAAGAATAAAAAACATTTAACATTACATTTATGCATGGAAAAAGGATCTTCTGTGTCCCTTTCCATCCATTAGAAAGGCCTAGAAACCATTATTTCCACTACAAACTTTTTTCATGCAAGGAAGAATGATCAATATGACTTGTAACACTTGCTGAAGCATGACTCACTAAGTAAACTATCACAACTCAGAGTGGCGTTCCTCCTTCTCATGTTCTTACAACGTGCACAATGGCCACATTTCTAGAAACACTCATCTCTCTCACTTTGTGGTGGCATCCTTATTGAGGGTTCTTATATGCTCTTCTGATATACTGCCTATAATATACCATTAGAGCTAGAAACTTATCTGGATTAAACTAATTAGGAATCTATGACTATGACAGAGCTAGAAATGACAAAATAAAATGGGGCTGGAAAGATGACTCAGTGGCTAAGAGCATTCACAAGGACCTGAGTTTGTTTCCCAGCACCCAAACGGTGGCTCACAATCACTGATAATTCCAGTTCCATGGGATCTAATGCTACCTTCTGACCTCCAAGAGCACCAAACATACACATAATGCACTTAGCTATATACCTTAAAAAAAAAATGACAAGTGAAAAACTCTGCACAATCCACAAGTTGCATATAGTATGTCATCACTTATACACTTATTAATACTTAAAGACTATTTCTGGGAAGGACAAAGAGCAGTAACAATAGCTAATTCCAAGGAAAAATGACGGTATTTCAAAGATAGTTGAAAGCAAACCTTCTTCTATGTTTTGCAAGCTAAGTGTGGTGTCAGGAAGCTGATGAAGATTTTCAAGTTTGAGCAAGGCAAGATCCTGTGTTAAAGCTGGAGACATAACTTGGTAGAAGTGTTTGCTCAGAACACACAAAGCCCCATGTTTGATCTCCAGCATTGAACCATGGTAAAACAGAGAGAACAGACTATGGGAGGTTATATAGAACACAATGAAATTTTGAGAAATGTTGGGGATTTAGTATATGAATTAGTTACATTTTCTGCTACTCAGATCTCTATTAGAAAACTCAGTGCAAGCACACTGCTTGGTTACTTCTGGCATCCTTTCCTTTACCACTGCTAAGTTCAGAAGCCAAAAAGCCCCAGATGTTTTAATTATTGTTTTGTAAAAATTTGGGGTGTAGATTTGTGTTCAATATCAGAGACATACATGTGTGTACGTGTGTGTGTGTGTGTGTGTGTGTGTGTGTGTGTGTGTCTCCATTATAAATTTAAGAACAGTGTTTCCTGAAATTCTGTGAGCTGAAAAGCATGTCAGTCAGATCTGAAAGGAGGCTGTGGAAATGTCCATTTGTAGCTTATTTGGCAGAAATTCACAGGTCTGCACTTGCTGCTGGGCTGAAATAGTGACAGTGTGGACAATATAGACAGCATGACACTACCTTAAAGTAGAGTGTCTGATGTGAATTGGAGTAGACGGTTTCTAGCTGCTATCCACTGCAGAACTGCTTATTTGCTACAGGAAAGACTCCCACACATTCTGAGTTATGGAAGTCTTCAGCATTATAGTGCAAGAGCAGAGGGAAAAATGAGTACTTTGTTTCCCTAACACAGCCATGTGTCCTGTAGACACAGAAAACAGGCTAAGAATAAACACTGGGCTGTCAACCCCACTAATTCCTAGGGATCTGGAATGAGGATGACATTACAGGAACTGACACTTTGTAGTCATGCCTGTCTGTCTATACCTTTTGAACATTTATCACGAGCCAGCACTGCTTTAAAATGAAGAACACTTGCATCATCCAGATACTTCTAGGTAAAGGTGGGGCCTGTTAATCTAGGATGAACTGGGGAGGGGCCAGGAGGACCCAATCCTCGATGAGGAGATACAGCAGTTAAAGGCTAGGAGGAGGCGTTTTTTCCTCAGAGCTGTAATCACTGGGAAACCCAGAAGTAATCCCACACCTGTGCACATGCAAACAGCTCTACTTAAAGTCAGTGGGTTATTAAAAAGGGAAGACACGAAAGTAGGAAGGAAGTGCTTGGAAGAGGAGAGCAATGAGGTGTGTGTGAAGTATGATTAAGTTATATACATGTATGAAATTGCCAAAAAATAAGGAAATAGTTTTTAAAAAAATAAACATCAGAACATTTTCTCAGTTTTAGTGATATTAATGTTTACATGGAGTTTTAAGTTTAAAATGTTAATTACTATTAATTTTTCCTACTCCAAATTAGTGTGCTATTATTACTTTTTAAGTAATTGCTAATATCAATGAGCCAGCTATGAGGGGACAGTCTGGTGTCACTACTACCCTAGAATTTATACTTATATACATATTTATTAAACAAAAAACCCCACATTTTTTCCTAAAAATACATTCACAAAATAATGCTTTACAAGGAAAATACACAAAAGTTATAAGTGTCATAGAGCTTATTTTACATGTTTGCAAAATTAATCTGACCTTCAAATGATTCTTTATATTGGACAATATTTGGATGTTTCATGTTTGCCAACACAGCAACTTCTCTCCTTGATTCTTGCCGTTCTTTACCGGACATCTTAAATGGGAGGAAACAGTAAAACCATTAATAAAGTTAAAAGTTCATCAACAAGAGAGTGGTTAAAAATGGTACTAATATAATACAATAATAATAATAATAAGTTAAAAATCACAGCACTAAGTTAAAATGGAATTAACTGAATCCATAAGTGAAATCCTCTTAGGACACCTAATCTATAGTAAGTTACAGGACTGTAACTATATATATTTCTATATACAAGTACAGAACATACAAGTAAGTACATGATAAAAAGTCTGAAAGGACACACAGATTCCTCTGAAATCAGTGGTCCTAGGTGCGATATAGCACTCTTTCTCATTAGATTATACAATTTCTCTAATAAAATGCCCTATGGTACCCAAATTACTACTTGTGCAACCGAAGTAAAAATATACTTACTCTTGAGATGTTAATTTCCTTGATAACATAATGCCTGCTGTCCTCTGTGGATTTAACAAGAACAGCTTTTCCAAATGAGCCTTCTCCAATCTTCTGTAGTCTAACATACTTCTCCATGGTTTGTTCTTAAGGCATGTTTATAGGTTAGCTACACATAAAGAAGTTAACAGAGATTTAAGCAAGTCTTAACAAAAAAGATATCTAACAACTTGACTGAAAGTTAAATAAACTTTACATTTAGAATAAAACAAACAAGAAACAGTGATGTTTCAGTTTTATTAGGATGCTTTGAAGCATCCAATACTAAACATACTCACAATACAGGCACATAAACAAAATCTTTTTCCTACGTGAATTAGAGGCATTGTTTTACTACCTTAGTAAGAGTATAAGCTCACTAAGACACAATTTCTTCAAGTTGTTTCAACAATTGTAGGTAAAATTCTGCACTTATATTTTAATGTAATTTGCTGTAAGGATTTTTTAGGATAAAATATAAAATCAAAAACTATGCACGTGTTAAAACTTGCAGGCACATTACTTAAGCATTTTACAGAAATATCAGTCAGAACATAGTCCAAAAATGAAGTCATATGAGAACTGTGAGAATTCTGAGTACTTGTGGGAAAACTCTAAGGAAACAAGAGTCCTGTGACCTTAGTTTCTTCGAAACACAGAATTGTTCTTGGAGTGTGCTCCTCCCAGGTGCAGTGGATAAGAGTTTACTTCAGCTGTTGTTATTCATGTGTCTCTATGGAAAAAATGTTTTCCTTGTGATTGCATTCTTTACTCAAGTGACTCTTCTTAACCCTTAGGGGTTAAGAGTCGGATGCTCTGAAGATGGCTATTTCATGAGACTTTAGTTCACCTTATTTTTAGTCCCCTTCTCAGGCTCACTCCACCAACTAGAGTGGTTACTACTGTAACCAATACTGTATAAATGCTGACTCTTAAATACTCTTATCAACAGTGGCTATTCTTTATAAAATTCTCAAAGCAGCAGCAAAAGTAGTTAAAGAGCTGGTGAGCAAGATGGCTCAGTGGGTTAAAGGCATTTGCTAAGCAAGCCAAGGAAAAAACTCAACCAAGTTGTCATCTGACCTCCACACATGCACGTGGCATACATGCCCACACTCACATAGATCATATATACATAGACACACAAGGGAATGCATGCCTCCACTCATTTACATCGTATGAGCATGTACACACAATTATAATAAACGTCACTTTCTAAAGAGCACTGGCACCTTAGCGCTTGTGGTAGTGTGAATGAGAATGGCCCATAGGCTCATATATTTACATGCTTAGTTCTCAGGTGAAGAATTGTTTATAAGGATAGGCAGTGTGGCCTTGTTGGAGGAGCGGGGTTTGAGATTTCAAACACCCACACCAGTGTCCCACCTTCCTCTGCAGGCCTGCCTGTGATCTGGATATAAAGGTGTCAGCTACCATCCTAGTACCATGCCATGCCTTCTCGCCTGCCGCCATGCTCCCCTTCATAATGGACTAACCCTCTGAAACCATAAGCATGCCCCTGGTTAAATTCTTTCCTTTACAAGAGTTGTCTTGCTTATGGTCTCTCTTCACAGCAATAGAACACCAAGACAGAGTTTAAATCCTGGTTCTATTGTTTGTCACATGACCTTACACCAGTGGTTCTCTACCTGTGGACTGCAACCCCTTTGTGGTCAAACTACCGTTTTTTACAGGGGTTGCATATCATCTATCCTGAATATCAGATATTTACACTACAATTCACGACAGTCACAAAATTACAGTTGTGAAATAGTAACAAAAATAATTCTATGACTGGGGATCACCACAACATGAGGAACTGTACTAGGGTTGCAGCATTAGGAAGGTTAAGGACCACTGCCTTACACTATTGATTTCTATATCTCAGTTTATTCACTTGTAAATGTAAACAAACACAGTATGTACTTAAAGAATCACCATGAGGATCAACTAAAGCAATATACTAAGAACAACATTTTGTTGTTTCTGATGTTTGATTAGACAGTGTGGCATTTTAATTCTTTTGCTTACTGATTAATTTGAAAGATTCTTCTACAATAATCGAACATTTGTATTTTCTCTATATTAACTGCGCATTTCTACTTGCATAGTCTTTTTTATTAGTATGGAAAACCATACTATTTAATGAGAGTTTTCACTGTTATAAAGGTAAAAACTTTATTTTTGAGACAGAGTATTAATGTAGTCTAGGCTGGCTTCAAACTGTCTTCCTTCCCAATCCTAAATGCTGGGATACAAGTGTGTACCACCATGACCAGCTTATTATGAACTGGCTTGATTAGCATACCTCAAAGATTTTTCCAACTAAGATAATTAAAGTTGCTGGTAGCTTTGCTAATCTTTGTTGTCAACTTGACTACATCTGGAATCAACTAAAACCAAGCAGTTTAGGCACACCTTTGAGGGATTTTTCTTCACTGGATCATTTGAGGTGGGAAGACCCACTCCAAATCTGGGTCATCTAAGATCAGAAGATCCATCCTAAAATCTGGTACATCTTTTGGTGACAGTTCACATAAAGGGACATGGAGGACAAAAGCTTTTGCTCTGCCTGCTTGCCTTCACTCCTGCTGGCAAGTTCATCTATCCTGCTGCTGAAGCCCTTCTTCCCTGGCACTGGAACCTCCTTCTTCTGGATTGAAGACCAGCCTTTCAGACAGAACTAACACCAGATTCTTTGCCTTTCCATCTGATGACACCTATTGTTGGGCTAGCTGGACTACACTTTAATAAATCTCCCTTTGACACATTGAGACTCTCTCTCTCCTCCCTCTCCCTCTCCCTCTCCCTCTCTCTCTCTCCTAGTTCTGCTTCTCTAGAGAACTGTGACTAATACAGTAGCTTTAACAATTATAATTTTAGGATAAACAAATGTACAAATTCACCATTTTAATCAGAAATTAATACTTTATTTACTCAGGTTTCCAATATGAGTTCCCTTCTATGGGGAAATGGGCTTTCAGGAAGCTGAAATTTTCTGCCATAGTTCACTATATTGACAAACCGATGTTTCCATCTCATCCACAATACTCAATACTCAATTTTTAAATTTTTCTAAAAAAGATTCTACGTTCTTAAATTAGAGAATTCATATTATAGTCATGAAAACTAAAGGTTAAAATCCAGCCTGTACTAAAATTGACTATTATAGCTTATGAAATTTTGTGAAAAGAACCTTCTTCAACATTCAAAAATGTTATAATCAGATCCCATTTCAATTTCTATAATAATGCTTTTAGCAACTGTAAGAGAAATAAGAATGACAACATTATCATAAAATTCCAGCCATTAATGGTGAGGTGGAGAGGAAAAGTCATTCCAAATACGGTCTACATTGACTCAACCGGCACAGTATAATGGATATCTGGGAACCAGCCAAAACGTAATGTTATCTACAGAACAAGAAAGCTCAATGTATCATATAACTACACTACTTAGAGAGCAAATCATGATAAACTCATCTCAGAAGACTCGATTCCATGAAATAAAATTACATTAAAAAATAACCACATAATGAGGTTATTTTATAATCATCATTGCTTGTAACATTTTCCCAAGAGAGGAAAAAACAAACATTGTCAGTTTGGCTCTTTCTCCAAATTTAATTGCCAATTCCTTTCTAGGGACTATACCAAGAAGACACAACTTATTAGTGTCCCTAGTATTTTATTCTATTGCCATCTACATCCTGAGCACTGTGGTTCTAATTCAATACAGCCAAATATACTGCCCTTGGAAAAAAGAAAGATAATTCTAATTGCCATCAGAAACAATAAACACAGGTATCTTTCTGAGCAATCAGAGATTCATGGTTAATGAGTTTCAGAACACAGCCTTTTCTGCAGACAAATATACACCAGAAGGAAGCTACCTACTTCATATCTGTGAGACTTTACAACTAATTTATTATAAAAGGAAATAATTTCAAATGAAATGAAAGAAAAGATAATAAAATATACCACCAGCAACAGCTGGCTTTCTTACATAACCCAGGACCACCTGCCTAAGGGTGCCACCACCCACATTAGTCTGAGCTCTCTCGCACCAATCATTAATCAAGAAAATGCTCACAGTCATGTACTGGCTGAGGCAATCTTTCACTTGAGAGTCCCTTTTCCAAGATATGTCTAGATGTGTATCAAGTTGACAACAAACACTATTTGTGTAGCAAAAGGAAATACATATGTACAGATTCATGTTTACACTTATTTATATACATATCTATGTACACACACAGAAGTATTTATATAAAAAATAATTCGCAAGGACGGACACACATACACCTAGTAACATTGCTTCCAAAGAAGAGAAATGAACAGTTGAGAATTCTTCAATCTTTTCTATTGTCTGAATTTTGAATTGTAAGAATGATTAGCTCGTCAAAACAACAAAATTAAATTTAATTAACCATGTATACTGGTACAAATAGGAAGAACACTGATCAATTTATTTTTAAATATTTTAAAATGTATTGAAAGACTGTGTGTGTGTGTTATATGTGTGAGTGTGAGTGTGTGTGAGGTGTGTGAATGTGTGTGTGTACTAAGAATAAGACTTGTGGGAGTTGGTTCTTTCACCATGTAGGGTAGGTCTTGGAGATTGAACTAAGGTCATCGGGCTTGGTGGCAAGTACTTTACCTGCTGGCCCTACTTAAATATTTGAACAGAATGGGGATACAGCTTGGTGGAAGAAGCAGCAGCCAAGTATGCACGAGGCCCTGTGCAAAAACCTTCAACAATTCCTTATTTCCAAACTTTTCACCTTAACATTTAAAGTTTTGCTACAATATCATGCTGCCTTTTAAATATGTCAGTTATGTTTCAGAAAAAAATATACTTCAACTCTAGCCAAATTAGATATCTTCCTTTCCATTTTTCTAAGAACTATTACAAATAAGCAATCTTTGACACAATATTATGAACCACATGAGAAAACTGTTAGAGTACATGAATTTAAAACTGCATCTCCATCAATCAGGAAAAGACACACTGACAGGCATTAAGCATTAGCTGTTTCAGATATTTGATGGAGAGATTATTCCAAAGGGAAACATTAGGAATAAATGACAACAGATGCCAAGAAGTTTTCTGGTACTGTCTGCAATATCTGT